TTATAACGGTAGGAAAAGGTAGATATAATGACAAACATTGCTTTGGTAGTATACAAATGTTAAGTTAATGTTAGCCTTACAGTATGTTAAGCTGTATTTTTCATGCTTTCCGTTTTGTTATTAAAGAGATTTGCAATTATTTTGCTTAAAACGCTTTGAAGTAGATTTTTGCCCAAGGTATTATTGTACTGTATGATACTGTATTACTGTAACCCATTGGATCGCAAAAGTACAGTGACAGTACAACATTATTGTCCAGTTTATAAAGGTAGGAAAAGGTAGATATACCGTAATGACAATGACAGACATTGCTTTGGCATTATACTAAAAATGTTAAGTTAATGTTAGCCTTACAGTACAGTATGTTAAGCTGTATTTTTCATGCTTTCCATTTTGTCAAAAGAGATTTGCAATTATTTTGCTTATTTAAAATGCTTTGAAGATTTTTGCGCGGGTATTATTGTACTGTATGATACTGTATTACTGTAACCCATAGAATCGCAAAAGTACAGTATACAGTACAATATCTCGCACATAAAATTGGACAGCTTAAAGGCATGCTTGAAATTGTACTTTTGCCGCTCGAGATTTCTCTATGACATTGCTTTTCCCCCGACAGGGGGTCCAAGTGGGAAATGCAGAGGTCGCCGACGGAGGGTCCTATTTTACCCGACCCCTGCTAGTGCTGCCCCTGACAAGGTACAGCAAGAATAGAAACCTAATTGAAAATACAATCCTAATACAAAAATCATTAGATTAAAAAGGCATACTGTATGTATGAAACTGAAAAGTTATGACAAAAGATATAAGATTAATTTGAAAACAAAATTGTATAACTAAATTTGTGATTAACGAAAAATATTCCATGGTTAAAAAAGCAGTTAATAGCTTCAATCATTACTTCTATGACAGGTAGTTTATGAATTATCATTCAACTTACGTCATATGAGTGTGTATAAATTCATCCAACCTACATCACTCCCTATGATGTACTGTACAGTAGGTTTAATGATAGTCATAAATTACTGGGGAAAAAGTTCTATCTATAGTATTATGATGAAATCTCTAGACCCCATTTATCTATACTGAAAGGTTCTTTTACCATGATTGAGTGTTAATTAGTAATTTACTCTGCACCCCAATTAATTAATGTAAGCTTTCCTTGGCTCACTCATTCTTGATGTTTTAATTTGCTTTTAAACAAAAATTGTAGTGTCCTGTTTATTTTCTGTAATGTTCCACTTTTTTACTTCCGGGCCTTTCTTTGTGTAATTCCCTTTGCTCTGTTAACATCTGTGCAATTCTTTTTTTTTTTGTAATTATTTTTCTGAATTTCAATGTTCCTTTTTTTTGTCTCTTCTATTTTTATATAATCAATTTTTAGATCTGTGCAATGTTATTTTTGTAAATTATTTTTCTGAATTTGAATGTTTTTACTGTATATCTCGTGCAATTCATTTTTGTAATTATTTTTCAGAACTTCAATGTTCCTTTTTTTTGTCCCAATCTATTTTTACATAATCAATTTTTAAATCTGTGCAATGTAATTTATGTAATTTATTATTCTGAATTTTAATGTTTTTATATGTTGTTCTTAAGTAGTTTTATATATTCACTTTCTAATGTATGTGCAATTTTTAATATTTACCATTATATATTATCCAAATGGTGTATTTTGTATTCCAAATTTGTAATAAAATTAAATTGAATTGAACAATATTGTATGCACTAAGAATTAAATTAGTGATTAATGAAAAACATTCCTTAAATTTGAGAACAAAGCCGCAATTGTACTGGATTTGAACAAAGAAAGACATATTTTTACCGAGACCACCGGTAACATTGCATTGAGTAAGTCTTGCTGCTGTCCTCTACTGCTGTCCACAATTGGATTTTCGGTTAGTTTTACTGCGGGAGATACTGATGGCACTAGCTCCTCAGGGCTTTTCGCGCTAAATAAAAAAGTCCAGTGCAATTGCGGCTTTAAAACAGTACTGTAAGCAAATGTAAGTTATTGGATTAGGCATATGACAGTGAAATGATAATGATTGATCAATATCTGAATGATGAAAAATTAAGCATTATAAATTCAAACCAAGGCGATTCCACAGATGAATGACTAGAAAGAATTCCAACTTAAAGGTTAGTCGATTAAGATAAATAACTAGGTCTACATGATTTGTAAGATATGATATTAGTAACTAAAATTAGCTCTTATATTAGGCTTGCCGTTACCAAATATGGCCTATACTATACTCCAACCTCAATACCGTAAGTGTATAATTTGTTCAATCAGTATTTACCTGCCATATCCAGGCTCTGTATTTAATATAAAATAATATGAAAATTATCCTTGAAAAAAAAAAAGAAATTTTATTAAATGATTTGATTTCCAAAGAATACAGTAAATATTGATGATTGATGATTTTACTTATTAAAAAAATGTATTTAGTTTATTAAAATTTTAAGATAGAGTTTCTTAAATTGGTGTAATAAAGTAGAGTAAATTTGATGTTGCAAAGTACCTTTAAGTACCTTTTACTTGGTACAGTACTTTGTTGGTTCCCTTCTGAATGTTCTTTGAGAACTAACTATGAGCTTGCAGTTCTCTTTAAAGAGATAGACAATTAGTCAGTTTATCCAGGTAAAGTATTCACGAAATAGACTATGGGTAGCTCAAAGTTACTAGCAATAAACTGTGGAAACTCAAACAATTGGACAGGATGAAGGTTTGGGTCACTCGTTCTGATTCACGATAATTTAACAGTACAGTACTCGCGCGAATAAGCGCCCCGTTTGAATAAGCGCCCCTCTCGATTGAGCGCCCCTCCTAACTTTAAAATTTCCTTAAGCGCCCCGTTTGAATATAGCGCCCCTTCTAATTTGAAAAACGCCCCCTCAATAATTCAATCAATCCTGGACTGTGATGTTGGCATGATTTGAGGTGTGGAGTGGAATCACATTCTCCTTTAGTCAATATTAAAATGAGGATATTTATCTTGGACAGATGAGAGCTCCCCGGACAGACAGTACATAAATTCCAACTCTCATCTTCTTACATTTTTCTATAGCCTAGTCTTACTGCTTTTCCGACAATTTTCACCTAACACATTCTGAGTTTTCAAGAAAACCTGCAATGATCATGCCATCCTGTTAATCTCAATCGGCCGATGGCTAACAAAGCTAACCACCACCACTAATTTCATCTGCTATTCTGCTGTTATGTAATACTGTACTCACAACATTCTTGTCATGACAAGCCATGCTCTCTGGATGATTATCTTTTCCGCCGCACAACCATTCGTAATTTGCGGTTTCCTGATGTCATTTTATAATCGTTTTTCATTCAAAATGTGCCTCTTGAATTTAATAAGTTCTCATAAGAACCCCTAGATTTTCATGTATTTCCATAAGCGCCCCCTGAATTTACACTCTGTTTTGATAAGTGCCCCATTTGAATAAGCACCCCTCAAAAAGTGCAAAAAATATTTTAAGCGCTCAGGCGCTTATTCGCGCGAGTACGGTAATGTACAGTAATCTGAAAAGTCCAAACAGTTGAGGAGCAAACCATGATACAGTATTTTTCTCTATTTCTATGGCTTGCATCCGAAAATTAGGCAAAATTTCAGTAGCAACTATGGATATGCCTGTAGAATAATGAGAACTCTAATAAAATATTGTTTTCATTCATCACATGGTTTCAACAAAGATAATCATTCTTATTATTGTGTAAACAACTTGACAATAAAAATGACGACGAAAGTTGATATAACAGAAGTTAGGCCTAGGCCACCTAGTGGTAGTAGGATGTAGAATAGATTTTAATAATAATATTGAATTCAAGCATAATTGACATCATAAACAAAACGATGTCGATAGATGAGACGATTGATATGCTTGGCTAAAGAAAAGAATGAGAAAATGGCTTAGAATATTATAACGAAGAAGACAGATTGAAATTATTACACAAAATTAGAGGTACTGCTAAGCTTATTATATAAAATCAAGATTGGCCTATTGAGAAATTACCCTAATCTAAAGAAAGGAAGGCAGCGATAATATGTGAATCCCAACAACCAAAGAATGATGCACGAATCATCCTTGTCCGAGACGGTCGATCACGTTCACACCACGGCTAAAAATTTAGGAATGAATAAGCCCAACTTTATAAGATAACGTTGTTTTCTACCAACATATAAATGTCCTTACCTGTATTGTTGGTTTCATGCACTTATAATTAGTGTAGTTAAATCCAGGCACTTGCTACAAACCACAAACAAGTAATTATCTCTGAGACACTATCGTCTTCTACTTCAAGATGTAAACTAAGATTATTTTCCCATTCAAGAATGTCCAGTCGTTGCTTATCGACGCGACGATGACTCATGATCTATTTTTAAGCTCCTAATAAAAAAGGCGGGATCGATGAAACAGCTGAAAAGGTAGCCTATTTAGAATCGATTCGTAGCTTTTCTATCTAAATAGTTTAATAAAAAGTATTGAGAAATTGGTAATGTATGAACTGTAAAATGCAAACTAGGCCAAGGCCATGTTTTAACGGGTAAATCTCAGACCCCTAGGCCTATCCTAAATTTTAATTCGCACGTTGCACTGCACAGTATCAAGTATTTACTATTGTAGTCTTTCATCCAGTCGTGCATAAAGACTAACCGACTTAATAGACGTTCGGCGCGGCAAGACTACTTTACGGCATCAGACTGTTCTACTATTTTGTCGGTAGGAAAATTAAATTAAATGTTCAAAAACACCATAATTTCGACAATTAAACAATAGTTATCGTTTTAGGTTTAAATCTTTATTAATAAGTATGTATGCAGAATGAACGGGTATAGCGAATAGGGAAAATGTATATTGGTAAACGCCACAGTGGTACAGAGTGAGGATTAGCAACCCCTATTTTATATTATGGATTTGTTTGACGTTGTTGTTGACAACAATTAAATAATTATAGGCTTTCTGCAACTTTACTTTGTTGATACCTCTCCATCGTCTGTGGTGCTTAGCCAAATTAAATTTCTTTATTTATCATTTGCTTAAGAATGGAAGGTGGCTCAGTTCCCGTGCGTAAGTTATTATCCGGTACATTGACGTCATTTTCTTTCCCTAGGCTAGGCTAGGCCTAGATGGGCCAGCCCAGGCGGTAGACCTAGGCCTAGCCTAGGGCCTAGGCCTAGCTAGTAATAGTAGGCCTAGGCCTAGGCCCTACTTACTACTACTAGCCTAGTACTACGTACTAGCCTAGGCTAGGGCCTAGAGCCTTAGGCCTATTGTGGTAAGTAAGCCTAGCCTAGGGGTAGGGCAGGCGCTAATTATTAGGTAATAAGAGGGAAGCGGTAGGCCTACCTAGCTAGGGCGAGGGCCCAGCTAGTAGCCAGGCCTAGCCGAGGCCCGGCCTGGCCCTAGCTAGAGGAGAGCAAGCATAAGTCTAGGGGACCTATAGTACTATAATACTATAATGTAGGCCTAGCCTAGGCCTACTTATTATTGGAGACCGTGATTTTTTCGCATTTATTTGCTTTCGCCGCTAATTAAGCGGTTGAACTCTTTCCATTGGGTTAATTGGCTGAAAAATACCAACCCAGGAGGAGAGCACACAAAAAAATTATATTCCTTCAATTCAATTTGAATTGACTTCAATTTGGCCTATAGTTTCACATTAATGCAATGGAAAGAACGTATTGATGTGAGTAATCTACAAATTAGATGACAAAAATTGGTTGAATATTTACAGAATTATTTAATAAAAATTTTTCCTCGATTTATGCACGTTGGCTCAGGCCTATCTTGAATGTGTGACCATATGCATGTGTGCACCGTGCATTTTCTGTTGAAAAGTGGGTATTCCAAATATTTGAGGTGATGGAGTTTAGTATCATTTGAAAGTAGATAATATTTACTTTCAAATTTTGTGCGAACCCACAGGAAAAGTTAGTGTATCGGACAACAGTGCCCAAATTTAGCATACCATGTGCAATTCTCTGGGCTCTGTTCCTATGCAATGGCGTGTGTGGGGGCATGGCAACTCAGAAGCAACAAAGTGTTCCATATGCCTAGCTTGGGTTAACAATTAGTTCAGCCAAATCTGTCTTGGAGGGACTGCTTTTAGGCTTCATAGAAAACAGAAAATCCAACTCTCTTGGTTTGACTCAAATTTCCTTGCTGTCTCCAGTATCCAGATTTTTTTCTATTTTAGATTTAAAATACAGTAAGAAACAGCTTTTTCAATACAGGTACATATAATTTTGTATTTTTGTTCCAAATTTTATTTGTGTGCCAAATTTACCAACGGTGTTAGACTTGCCACAAGTCTCTTATTTTTTACTATTTCTCTCATTCTCGACAGCAACAAGAAAGTTAATTTAGAGACGGAATATGCGACTTGTAAAACACTGAATGCAGGAACCAGGATGACAAACAAATTACGTAATCTTATATTCCGTATTTTGATAGATGGGCGGACCAAAATGAACAATTTCAACCAATCACAATGTTGACATTTTCGGAGCCACAAAACTGAGTCACTCACGTCGACTAGTTAGGCATGACTAAAAAATAGTCCTCCCTATAATAAGACGGGCCTTAACTGGGCCTATAATATTTAGAATTGATCCTAGTAAGACTAGTGTGGGCAATGGAAAGAACAATTAAGCTTAGGCTAGATGGCATACCATTGGCATTACAAACACAACATCACTTTCCAGGAGAGGATGGCCCAGGAGTTTAGTAGTAGTAGGCCTAGTAGAGGCTTGGCCTATTTTTAAGTTCTTACATAATATTACAGTAGGCCTAACTTTCTAGCAATATTCTACCCAGGCTAAATCTGTGTAGCTAGCGAGTAGCACTAGGGTTCTGTAAGTACTAGGGTTTAATCAGTCCATAGTCAGTCAGCAGGCCAGAACTATGTACTAACTGTTTTAATTCAAGTAGTTAGGCAGAAGGGAGCTGGTCTAGCTCTGTTAGGCCATATAAAAAAAAAAGCAGTTGATCATCCCCGCCCGCATTCTATTTTTAGGCCGCATCGATTTATTTATTAATTAATATTTTGGCACAAATATTGTAAAATAACTATTTGTTCGTAATTTTTACCAAAATCTAGGCCAATCTAGGCCTAGGAGTTCCGTTTTCGTGGTGCATCGATACCTCCTGCTGATCCTCCAGCTATCGTTGTTCATTATTGACCTCTCAGCATTTAAGAGGTCATATATTTTAATAAAAATATCGACGCTGCCGTTGTGTGTCCATTTTAGAATACACACTTTGTTAATGGCTTACGACATTTTTATAAACGGCTGGATTAATTTAGAATTTAGCCCATCCACTGTTTGAATACTCTTTGTTAAAGATAGTGCCGCGAAACATAAAAAAACTGGATTCGGAGTCTTACGGTACAAAGCGTCTTCGTCTTCTGATTTAGTGTTTTGAGGGTGAGGGTGGCGTTTCAAATAAATACGGTAACTCGTCTTAGAAAATAAAAAAATAAAAAATAAAAAGAGCCTCTTTCTTCCTTTTGTGAAAAAACTAGGACGATCAGCTGTTGTTTTTTTTTATATGGCCTTATCGGTTTTCATATTTTTAATGTTTTATATCATTTTACGCATAGGTTAACCTATTTTATATTATATCATTTGTATTGTATTTTAGTATGACAGTGTTTTTATTGTGAACCTTGGAAAACAAATTTCATTTACTTTGTATGTGACAATAAATTGAACACCTAACTTGAACTCAGTCCTAGTCGAGACATCCGTATCTTCAATTTTGAAAATTTACCAAGATTACAGTAATTAATATACATGAAGTAAGCCAATCACCTGATTTACAAAATCAGTCATGCATATGATATCCCACATCGAATTTGATATGGAAAATCGTATGTATGAATAATCAGGCAGCGTTTGCCCAGGCCCTAATCTGAAAAAAAAAAAAAAAAATTGAGTATGGGACACCAATTAAATTAGGTATGGCGCGCAATATTGAAGTGCAATAAAGTATGAGTAACCCAAAACTAGGGCCTGGAACCCAGGCTACAACGGTGTCTGTCTGCACGTAAAAAGACATAAAGGAAAAATTTTAGTGGTTTGGGCACCTGCTAAGTATCACCTGTCACGGTCTCTCGTCTCCCGAATTTAGTGTTTTCAGTGATTTGCACATCAGTAGACATCATTTGTTTTATTTATTTTTTTGTAATTATAATGGATTATTTAATTTAACAGATCTATAGATCATGGAGCATGTACAGTCAGTGAAAACTTTGTTGTGGGAATAGATTCTTGTCATTGTACCTGGCTACAGTGATGTGTAGGAGAATATGTCTGCAGAAAAATCGTTACTGACATTGGACTATGTACACCTAAAAGGCAAGCAATATTCAAGAGAACATGGAAAGGTAAATTCAGATGAGATATTGCAAATACTACTGTCGGTAGACCATGACACTACCGTATGTAACTAATGTGTAATACTGTATAATTTTTATAATGCACCTAAAATTTAGTTTCATCAGTGCATTTTTTGTTCCCATTCATTTTGTTCAATTGCATGCCTCCACCTAATGTTTTCATTGTTTGAAAGAAGATGGACTGTTCCATTATGAAGAAAGGTAAAATATCAAATAATATTTGGTATTTTAACAATATCATTGTTGCAAAATTAGAACTGATGAACTGACTGTTTTTTTTGGATTATGATGACAAGGATTTATTTAAGGTGTGTTATAGAACGAATGTTTTGTATCTGCCTCCTTCCAACTCATTAAAGATATTCTTCCCATTGATATTCATTCCCATAAACATTCATTGTTTGTATAATAATTTAAACTATTCACTTGATATCTAAATCACTGTTAATTATTTTTATGTCTTTTCATAGCTGAAATTAATCCAATTATTAATTAACAATACTGGTGAGAATTTCAATAACAAATTCAAGAATCACAGTTACTGTAATTATTGATTGAGCAAAAAACAATTTGAAAATCATATCAATGTTCAATTCATTTCAGTTTAACATTCAAAATAGATTTTTCTTTCATTTAATTCAGTATCGTCGCATTTATTTGGAACTTGTGTGCTTTAAAAAAAAAATAAAATGAGGAATTCATTGTTTAAATAAATGTTTGAAATTATTTCCCAATATTAATGCACAAAAAAATTAACACACTTAACATGATGAAAATTGTTAACTTTTCAATTGTTTTTTCACCAGCGATTTCATAATCGTACGTTAGGTGATGTTGATAAACGACACCAGATAGTTCCACCCAAGTCCAGCCATAAATTGTTTTCAACAATGATGTCGCTGGAATTTGAAGAAGCGAGAGCGGTGAATGATATGACGGCTCAGCATATTATTCGCAATCAACGCACACAAATCAAGAATACATTTCATAATAAACTCAGGTAATAAATAAATAGTAGTGCATATCTTGAATGAACATCCTGTAAATTTTAGCTACTCTAATTATTTTCTGGAAAAGAAACAAAAGATAATTAACAAGACATTATTTTCTAAAAATTAGATGTAATAATGACTAATAATGTGCATAGAAACTTGATCAAAGGGCCATAAATATAGCGAACAATTGGATTGAAATTGAAAGAAATATAAGTACCTGTGCTGTAGTCACATTTAAAATTTGAATGGATCATGTGTTATCTCGATAACTAGCGGATGATAGTATCGAAAGAAGCTATTATAAAAATGCTATTGGTAAAACTATTCACATCGGTCTTCTGAAAACTGTCATCATTAAATCTGCTGCACTTATTTTGAGGTCACCCAATCTTTTCAAAGGATTCTCTAAAACAGAAGCCTTCCAAGTTTATTGTGCATATTGTTCAAATGTGATTAAGAGCATATTCTTCAGACCATAGAGTATATTTTTTACAAATGATACAGTGCTACAAGTGTCTCTGTCTTTTGAGTTTATAAATGATGATCCTTTCAGTGCTTATCATGAAACTGTCTATTAAACTTCTTCTTTGCTGGAACAGTTTGTACACTGTGGCTTTTGGATTTAATATGGATTGCTACCCTAAGAACAACACATCCTACGGTGTTGTAGGTGAATCTTTCAGGTTCTATTGTGATTTCCAACTCGGAGTAGTGGATTTCTCAACTGATGACCTCACAAACAAGATTAATTGGACAAAAAATGAAATCGGTTTGAAATCTTCAAACATTGGCAGAAGTTCTGAAGTGATTTTCGAAAACTTAACCAAGTCAGATAGCGGTGTTTATAGATGTGATTACTCAGATGGAAAGACGGATTCCCAGTCTCATTCTATGGAGCTAGTTGTGTTGCCAGTACCCTCTGACCCCACATGCACTGCATCTCCATCAGAGTATTATGTCGGTGATAATGTCACATTAGTCTGTGAGACATACAGGTATCCTTCGCTTCTTCATTTGTATTGGCAGAGTAACTCATTATCTGTTAACTCATTGGGTAAATACAGAACCACAAGTATTATGAATTTTATTCCCACTCTTTCTGATGCTGGAAAAGAATATTCCTGTGTGATGAACACAGAGGAAGGAATTTGGACATGTACATTTACTGTCGTTGTCAGAAGACGGCTGGGTGTTAAAATCAGCCGATCTCGTTTCTTCTATAACCAACCAGCAACTTTAACCTGCACGGTAAAGGATGGCAACCAGAAGTTGAAAAGACGGGCATCAACTGATCGAAGTATTATGATAGGCGAAATAGAATTTCAAAATGGTACACATCCTACAGACAACAGACAACGAAGTGTTATGAAAGTCATCTATCTTTTTAATTGGAGTACAACAAGCAGACTTTTACATACATCTGTTGAAGAAGCAAATATGTCAAACACTCTGACGATTCACAATGTTAGTAACAAGATGGATGGAGAAAATATTACATGTACGGTCAGATTGAATGATGCTATGGGGTCAGATACGATGATGATAAAAATCAATGGCAATGCGGTGATGTATGAGACGAGTACAATTGGAGGAGGCCAAGATATTGTAGGAAGTATAAGCAACCCAACAGATGTCTTGCCACCTGAACAATCTGAATCACTTTTGGAGAACAATCTTATGCTCTTTGTGACTTACATAATGGTCAAGACTGTATGCCTAGTTATCATAATAGCTCTTGAGTTTAGGATCTGCTCGGATTTGTTGAAATCTAAATTCCTGTTCAGCAACATTTTTAGCCCACGACCCAAATTTACATTTCTGGTGCTAAGACGCGACCCATCAAAACCTAAGTTTTAAGTTAATAATGTCATGGAGGAATTATCAAATATGTTGCTGTATAGCCTATACTTTCAATTTAGTTTGAAACTCATTCCAAATTATATGTTTTCATTTTAGAGTCTCAAGCTCTGCCAACATGCAAAGACTATAAAAACAAATTGACAAGAAAAATATGTTCTCATTATAATTTTCAGGCGAAAGCCAAACACATTTAAATGAACAATGTAAAACTAAAATCTTAAAGTGTTTTTTAAATTTTTGTGACAGTATTATATTTGTTAGTGTTAGACATTCTTATAAACATAATTAACATGTAAAGATGTGTTTGAAGTTTTATTATCAAAGTACAACCACTTAAGCTATAAAGACACATGTTTCCACCCCACCTCAGTAAACAATAAGAATGAATTCATGAAAACACTTTAAAAGTCAAATGCAAATGCTTTGATAGTACAGTTTGTCCTCTAATTCGAGATCACCTTTGGGACCTGAAAATTTGGGGTGGTCTCGTGGTTCAGTCTACAAATAGAGAGTTAACTTTTAAATGATTGATGATTGTTATAATTGGTTCTTAGAAAAGTGGTCTTCAAGTAGTGGGTGCACTGTATACTAACATGAAAATATTGATACACATGCATTAAAAAAAGTAGAACTGAGGCATATGCCATGCTCTTATACTTTTCGATTGCTATTGGAATTTGTTTGTTGTCATTCGTAGTAAGCAACAAGGAAAACATGTTTTTCCCAAGATCTGAAGATGCGACCCATCAAATCATTTCTGTGACCCAAACATTGGGTCGCGACCCATTTGTTGCGGAATGGTGTTCTGAATACATTAAGTAGCACCTACTGTATACATTTACATACTTTTTTACATTGGTACAATACGTACATATACTTACAGTCTGATAATACTTGTTAGTTGCTACTTTCTTTTTGACAATTTTGTTTTACTGTAATGATTTCATTATTATGGTAATTTTCTTAGTACAATATTTACGATAATGATGTGGTATTGGGTTCAGATCATTGTCTTTCCTCACTGTATCAGTGTTTTTCTTTTTTTTTTAAGTGGAGAATTACACAAAAAAATGAACAAAGATTTCTTCTTTTTTTTTTTAATCCCTGAATGGACCCAATCTACTGTACATTGCACTTTCTTTTTATTATTGAGATATTCATGATCAGAATATTATAAATGAATCAAAGACACAGTAGATGTATTACAATTTAATATTTGCTATCATGGTGTACAAAGTATGTGCATGTGCTGAACTTCATACTGCTGAATTGTCAAGTGATTATATGTTTTTATACCATTATTATACATTAATCAGAAATTAAAGTAATGAAATGTATTACTCATACGATCAGTTGAATTTCATAACCTTAATATTTACAACAGTAATGCATTTTGAGGAGCTTTTTAAAGTTGATATGTTGCTACCTACATCATGAATATAATAAATATACCGGTAAGTAGAAGTTAGTTTAAGTCTCTTTATTGCCATCATTAAACCTTTCATTTTTGTTTTGTTTTTGGTTAATGAAAAGAAGTGCGTGGGTTTTGCGGTATAAAATCATTGTAGAATGTTGATTGAGTGAATGATTGATTGTCAATTTATTAAATTATTATTACATTATTATTATTATTATTATTATTATTATTATTATTATTATTATTATTATTCTAGCTCAAGTTCAATTTATTGTCATATACAAAGTAAACGAAATTTGTTTTTCTTGTAGGAAAAGTTTTTTTTTAACCTACAGTGTATGTTTATGCCTAAAAAGTAGAAAATGCACAAAAATACAACAAAGACCAATTTTAAATGAATATTAAAGAGCAAAACAATCGCATAACCTTGTCGCATCGCCTACCGTCCAGCAAGATAGGCCTAGGCCTTTTCCAGCCTTTTTAGCTCATTAAAAAACAAACAAAAAACTAAAATGCCGAACCACAAGTGCGTACATTTTGAGTTGGCCGGGCTTGGGCAACACAATCATTTTTTTTTATATTTGGCCTTAATCGTAAGCCCAGAAAGGTTTTTATGTAATTATTTTTATTTTTCGGATATTGTAAAGGCTTCCTGCAGGAGTGAAGTAATGCAGATAAAGTGCCTTGCTCAAGAAAACAAGCAAAATGCACACCAAAGGATTGAAAACATTACTTCAAGTTTAGGGAAGCAAACCATATCCACAGTGCCAAACAGATGGATGGATTTTTTTCTCAATGAGAACACCATGACCCACGAAAGTCTGAAGAAGACTTAGTTCCAGTGGGCTCCTTCTGGTGGTGATTGGGCAGTACACCGGGAGACAATCCTGTACTCTTTTCCGATGAGTGTACTGCGTTCTTTACGTGCACATGGGTCATTTTGCACCAGTGGTTTAAACGTCTCATCCGAAAGACGGTGGGATATCAAAACTTGCATTTTAGCCCTCTAGCTGAAACACAAGGAGAGCAGCGATGAGAATTGAACTGGGGACAAAGAGATCTCCACGGTTTACTGCCAACAGTTACTGCCACCAGTTCAGCTGACTGAGCTAGCAGCTGTCTCTTAAATTAAGTTTGACTTGCATTTGGCATAGATTTAATTTACCATAGTAATTTTATTTTTTACACATTTTCATTTATTTATTTTTCCTTTTCATTCATTAGAAGCTGTCAACTTGATGAGTGGCGTAGCACTCCTTTCTCTCAAAATAAAGTGAAGAAAAAGTCATTGAAGTGCAACGAAAGACCAGCAACAGCCAGTCAACTGAACACAATGAATATCGTCATGGCGCCCTCTGTGTCGGTTAGACCATTTTCAACAGGTGAATAAAAAGATACTGTATGTTTATTGGGTTAAGGTTTTAAATTTTTAACATACTGTACCTTTCAATAAGTTACATGGAGCATTTGCTCAAGATAAATTTTCTAAAGAATATTCTGTTTATTTATACTATTTCTTTCAATTGGTTGTTATATTTATTGGAATTTTTGTGAAATATAATAGCTTACTTCCAAGCTTTCATTACTATCTTAGCAATTTCTTCAGGGAAACTGATGTACAGTTGAACTTGCCTTGTCAAATCCAAAATGACATTGAAAAATTGTTTGACGTAGATAAAATTTGACTTACAGATTGTTAAAAGGTAATGGAAAACACAACAATTTGGCACGTAACAGTTAGGCATAGTTGACTTCATCCACTTGCCACATGACCATTCAAGCGTGAAATTGAATTGACATTTGACAACACCTCCTCCAGTATTGCCGGTAGCTCATAGTTACGGTTAGGGTGGGGTGCCTAGTACGAACTTCCATAGTCCTATATTATTTCTATAATATTTTTTGTTTTTATTTATTATTATTATTATTATTATTATTACTATTGTTATTATTATTATTATTATTATTATTATGACTGTGTTGTCATTAATATTATCATAATATTTTGTATAAATCATTTTCTAATAGGACCAAGAATAAGAACAGTTGCTAAAAAGCCAGCAAAGAAAAATATGTATGTGCGTGTTGAAAATAAAAATACTGGAGGGTTCAGAGACATTGATATTCGCAAAGTAGCAAAGGAATTACGTAACAGCTGGGTGGACGAGGATAAACCTCATGATGTAAAGACACCACGAAAAAGGGTAAAGAGTCTAGAGCTACCACGATATGACATGTTTTCAGGACAGTGGCTTAGCTTTGCTGGTGGTGGATCAGAGGAAGGCGGAGTGCTAGATGCTTTTCTTGGTACCGGTATGATATTCTTTAACCATTTGAATTTGTGTTGTGTTAGTATGCCTTATACCAAATCTGGGACAGATACTGATAGAAAAGCGTTATAGTACTGTACAATATTTTCTCAATTTTGAAAATTGCCGTACTTGGCTAGTTGCTGTATTTGGGACATACAGCATCCATCGAAGTTGGTACATGTAGCACTGTAGGCTATGGGAGGGGTTCCCTTTAATAATAATAATAATGTTATATTTATATAGCGCATATTGCACATTGCCCCTATGCGCTTTACAGAAAAACAATATAGGCCAACTGCAAAAAAGCAAATAACAATAATCAAAAAATAAATCATAATAACAATGTGACTAAACTACTCCTATTCCTTAAACTAATTAATGGCTGGCCGTTGACTCCGAGGAGCTCATCCGCCTTTTGTTCAGCTATTGGTTTTTCTTGCTGCTGGGTGACCATAAACACCTTCCCCTCAACAGTCACTAAGACATACTTTTCTTGGAGGGCAAAAACAGCCACAGGTCTCCATTTATGGCTCAGGGTGCAGGAGTTTGACTTTAAAAACTCTAAATGGAATCTGTATAAAGACAGTTTGAGTTTGTATGGCAAGAGGTAGTAACGATTCCTGCTGAATATCATCAGCATTAAAAAAAATCCTAAAATACTTGTTTCAAATACAGGATATATCATGTTTAGAGGCGGTAACTGCAGTAATATATATTGTACAGGAATTTCTGTCAGAAATGACGAGTAAGAAGGTGGAGTACTTTTTTTTTCAAATATAATAATCATAAAAGATAAGATTGACAGATAATTGATTGATATATCTTATAGGCAAGGATGTGGATGAATACTACAATATTGAAGGACAAGTTGGCAGTGTGGTTGTCAATCAGGTTACCAATGGCAACAAGGTACAGGTGTGCATCAATGGCAAACTGCAGTCAGATGACATGAAAGTCAAAAAGTGGAAATCAGAAGAAAGGTGGGTACTGTGAAATTTCTACTACTTGTAATAGTTCTTAAAATATTTCATTTTATGAGTTGGTGATGTGACTAAAGCCATGTTTGGACATTTGTTTAATGAAACTAACTATAAACATGTGGTAAGTTCCCTGTACTGCAGAATCATTAAGCAGCAGTATTATATTTAATCAAACAGTTCATACACATGTAAAAATTTCACCTATTTTCACACTATAATCATCCATTTGAATGGCCATAGACACGTAACAAATGATGGTTAGCCAAATTGTTGTTAAACTACAAGAAGTTAATCAAGCAACATATCTATTTATGTTGTTCTTCGTCTTTGTCAAAATTAAGCTAATTGTGAACATTACTTTAGATAATGATTGTTGTATATATATTAGTCATTTTCTTTAATTCCCACATACAGTACTCCTCTGTTCATCCATATTTTCAAACCAACACAATCCTAAAGCATAAACTACTATCTATTGAACACTTCACCGTTAACACTAAATGTTTTATACATTTAAAATTGAATTTTGATTTGTTTATATCTTTTCTTGTTTTACCACAATTTCAGTCAAGATAAATTTCCAACACGACAGTCTGATTCGCCAATCCCTAACATCACCCCTGGTCTGGTGAAGTCACTGGAAGATCGTTTACCTCTTAGTTGGGAAGACCAAATCACTCGATCTTCTGTTAAAATTTTAGAACCAACAGTACTACAACCAGCTAAAGTGAAAAAGGTAAGAATTTAATTTGTGATTTAAGGATTTTAAAGAAAGTTTGTTAATGAAAAGTGAAATGTTTTCTAACATTGCTTTGGAAATTGGTAACCTCTGATGCTGCATTACATGGGTTTAATTTGATTTTTATGTATATTTATTTATAATTTCAGGACACATCTGAAAGACATCCTGTTGTTTTCCAAAAACTAGTATCAGATGATAGACCTCGGGCTGGGCTTATTAAACCAAACTCATATCGTGTGCGCTCGCGTACTAAAAACAAACGCACCTTCAATGGAATGGAAAGTCTAAATAACCACATCACCGTGGTTACTGTTGATCAACATGATGATGATGCTGACTCTTTGACTTCAGAAGATTATCATGAAATTTTGCGGCAACGTATAACAGCTGGACAAAAGCCCCATGAGGATAAAAAAGAAGAATCCAAAGAACATAAATATGAAACTAAATGTGAACTAAAGAAGTCAAGTCAAAATGTTCTGCGAAGTACATCTTCAACATCGTATTACAGCCTCAGTAAGGAAAATCTAGCCTCATTGGCTGCACCAGGAGTGCCTATGACCCCGTCAGGATTCGCTGCAGCATCAAGTTATGTGAACCTCATTGCCCAAGGATCAAATCCAAACCTACAGAGTCGTCCAGCATCTAGCGTTGGCAGTAACAGAGTTCAGAGGTCCAGTAGTTCAAAATGCAGTTATTCACATGAGGAAAGACAGAGTCAAAGTGCCACAACACAGCACCAACAGTTAGCTAAGCAAGGTCATCTTCTACGCAGTGGTGTGTCAAGCATCAGCAATGGGATGCAAGATCGAGAAAAAGAATTTGTGTCCATTTCCCAACAGATAAGACTGCCCTCAGGAGTGCCACTGAAAAAGCAAGAAAGCTCTCCAGATTTCCATTTGAAATTGTCTTTACCAGAAAAACATCCTGATTATTCTGATGATGAATTGGATGAATCAATTGGAAAACTTTCACATGGTAACAGTATGGAAAGCTTAGATTCCATGATGGCAAATGGAAATGATGACATATTAGATCATGAGCATCACAGCTGCACATGCACGCTAGAGGCCAAAATGGCAGTGTCTGCTGCTTTGTCAGGGGCTCCACATCAGCTGATGCCTTCCACTATAATCAATGTTAGTCTTCCATCAGTCCAGATGAGTACCAGTGACTCATTGTCAGATCTGGAACCTGGTGCACAATTTCATCATGGTTCAAGCAAATTTTCACATGGGTGCATCATAGAGGAATCGACGGAGGAGCTTATTGAAGCCAATAATGCAATAAAAAGTACAGAAACCAAAGAATCATTTGCTCTTTCAAACACCAAAGCAGAAGTTGAATTAGATGTAAATAAAAATGAAGTGGATATGATTATTAATAAAGTCGATGGGCTTTCTATTACTCCAGACTCATTTCAGACCAAACAAGAAACACAAACACTGGCAAAGAGGCCAAGAAGTGTCAAATTTCAAGATGAAGTGGTTGTCAACACTCCAAGTGTGCCAACAAATTCCCCAAGAGCTATCGATCTGGATGGAGTCTCAGACTTCAGCTTCCAATAAGCTGGCAGTTTGTTGCCAGCAAAGAAAGGTTGTACAAAGATTTTCTGCAAAGATTCATTGGATTGATTTCAGATGTAAACTTGTAATTGGCAAATGCTAAGGAACTTCTCAAATTTTATTTTAAATAGCAAATTGGGTAAGAAAGAAATCTTTACTGACAGGTGGTCGGTCATTCTTTTGACAGATGGTAGTAACCCTACCCAATTCCACCACTAGTTGATAGATATATCACCTCAGATGTCTGAAAATAACAATCCCATGCCACTGTCTCTAGCATAGAAAATAATTCTATGGACCACAATGGATCTGAATCCTGAATGTCTGTCGCCAAAATAACACAATCTAACTATAAGTAATCAAAACCCCTTCCCCGTAACCAAATGAACCTAAGCCGGTTAAACATTAGTGTTTAAATTTCTTAAAGAGACCATGTTTTTGAACAAATTAAACTTCCCCATATGCACTTTACATTGATTGAATAAATGTCTGTGAATTAAATAGAATTCAATTAAATTATTAAAAACCACTCCATTATTATTTTATTATCTTCTTTATTATTTTCATTAATGTCACTTATTACATTTATTTTGTTGGACGTTTTATTAGAATTAAGAGTATTGATTTCGGTTGACAAAAAGTATACTGTATTCTATTCTTAATGCATAGGAAATGACCACTGTCCCGCTACTGTTTTGTCTTTCATCCGTTATATTGATAGTGTCATTGACACTCATTACATTTTATAAGAAATTTGAATATATTTATGAAATATGAGAACACTATAAGCTTCCACAAAATGACTAGATGATTTGATGCAATAAAGATGTGTTGTAATAGTTAGTCTGCATTTATAAAGACTGGTAGCTATTTATAGAATTCATCAGTTCCTGTAGTACGGTCTATAGCACACCTTCCAACCCTACGTTGGCAGTTTCAAAGACTTCCTCTCACCAATGCATCTACGTTTTCCTTTTTTGATAGAGTTCTTGAATTGAAGTTGCATTTTGGCTGAGCTACTTTTTGAAAATTTACATTTTTGTGAACAAAAAATTCAGGGCCACGGTGCTAGTTCTTGATTTGGTTATAGTTAAACTTGCCTAGGTCGACTTTGCTTAAATCAAATAATTTTTAAGTTGATCTTATTTTACATACCAAATTGTTGTGTTTTCACTTAATTAACCATCTATAAGTGGAATTTTATCTAAGTAGAACAATTTTTTTAATGCCATTTTGGATTCGACTTTGGCAAGTTCAACTATATAGTAGGCCTACAAACCTACCATACCATGTTTATACATCATGTTTGTGTTATAAATAAGCAATTGCCAAAAGCTTTCTTAATTATTATGAAATACTTGTCTTTGTATATTATGCTTTCATTTTGTAGTATTCATTATACAATATACAACTATACCGTGTAAATATTAATATAATTTCTGTTATTTCATGTTTTCTGTGTCATAATATGCAGAAAATCATTGTGCTGTGTTATTTTAACCGGTGGATTAAAGGAAACAATTGGAAGTTTTTTGTGAAAGTGTTTTTGCCTAAAATAGAACCTACAGTATGTTTTATCAAACCTTGCCAAAGATATCTATGTAAAACTATGCATTTCTTCAGCAGTTTTGAGTTTTGAATTAAAAAATGTTACATTTGGATATTCGATTTGTCATTTAGTTTGATTTTGGGAGCTTTTCTTTTTTATTAAACAACATCAGGGGTTCCAAAGTTGGGAGAAGCCATTTAATGTTTAACACATCTAATTGTATAATTGCTGTGCAGGTGATTTGATACACATTGGCAGTTGACTTCAGAGAGAAAATTAATAATATAGTAAAAACATGCAAACACCATGAATTAGTAGGAATTCCCAGGAGACTTGAGACCCCTGCAACATGTTTATTAAGATATTCAACTGAATTGATGAGGATTTGGCTGTAAGAGTCTAAGCACCTTAGCTGAGGTGCGTAATTTATGAGAATATGGGCCTTGGTTCCTGGAAATTGCACTCTCGTACCTTAAAAATCTTACAATACAATTTAGTGGGGATGCAATCGCACCATCTGCACCCCACCTGCATTAGCCCCAGCAAATAATCAACACCATGTAAATATACACATCATGTGTGTTTGAATGTGTTATAAAATTTAAGTTATCTTAATTGACCAATCAAAATGCAGAGTTGTAAACACTGCACAACAGACAATTTTTTTATTTATTATTTTCCTCACAACGAACAGCAAGTACAATCACCACTTCCAGGATGGAATGATGCTTTATAAACCAAGCCTCTTTATGAGGCTTAGGTAGTGCAGTTGTTTTGACTCGTGAAAAGATGTTTGCTGTGACAGCAATTGAACCCAGGACCCTGGGGTTAAAAAAATTATACAAAATTTTCATTGAAAAAAGCTTTTTGTGCTATAAATATCTCAACAATGTTTCATGAAAACAAGGGAAAAGCATGTCATCTACTGCAGCAAACATTTTAATTTTACAACTCTTACAGGTTCCAACAAATCATACATCTTGCTACCATTACCAAAAGAGACAATCCTTTTTTGTCTAGTCTATCTGAGAGAAGTTTTAGAACTTTTGATTAGGAATACACTGGGCATTATGTGCATAACAATTATTACATTACATTATCATAATCCAAGGCTGTGAAACATTTCTAAGAACATTTAAGTACAGTAAGGTGAACCTTTTTTTATTCCTTGTTTCGAGAACTTATTTGTTTAAAGAGACAGGGTGGAAAATAAAAATAAAATTCTTTGTTTTTTGTTTAGCAAATAGCTTTGCCAAAAACATCTCAACGGAGGATAAAACAAAAATAAAATGTTGGATGTAAAAAGTGTAGTAATGGGATGGTAAAAGCTTTAAATTTACATAAATAGGAAGAAATATGTTAAGGCAGCAACGGGTGTAATAAAAATAAAAAACTTGAATTTCCAGTTTTTTGCAGCGGTGGGTGTGCTAATTCTTAAAAAATGAAATTTTATTTTTATTCTAAATTATCAATATTTGAGGGCAGCGGGTTCGCGAAACAAGGTATAAAAAAATGTCGCCTAAGTTGCTTTCAAGTCAGTTGGTGGTCAGCACCTTGTGACAGCTCATAACATGCCCGGATTTTCTCCACATGTTTTCAGCTAGAGCTGAGCCTACACATTTCAAGAGGCCTATTAAAGCTCTCTCCAAACTCAAATTTTATTAAAACTGTTGTATATGCCTATATATAGTCATAATGTTCTTATATTATGGTCATGTTATGGCCATATATAGGCATATGTCACTTGTTTTTGTAAAATAAAATTTTAGCTTTGGCCAAGTCTATCTGTCAGCTACAATCTAAACTTTTAAAATTCTATTAAATCTGTCATTCTGTACCAACACAAAATACACTGACTTTCACGCTGTATGTATTCTACAAATAACTATAGCCACATGAAACTCAGTGGGTACACTGACGTTTACGCTATATGTATTCTACAAATAACTATAGCCACATGAAACTCAGTGCAAAACATAATTGTGCATGTGCAGTTAAACAACATGTGCACATCGATAAAATGGTCTGGAAAATAAGTTTGGCGTTTTTCATTACACATCTTTCTGGATAAACACTTCAAACTCTACATGAATGTCAGTGGTAAAGGCATACAACATAATTCCGAGCACTTCTCTGCATCATATGAAGGTCACAAGACATTTGAATCCAACTTCGATCCCTGTAAGCGCTAGACAAAAAGAAGATGCCGTCTGCTTATTGTCAGTGGCAGTCTTAACAGATTGTTATTGAAAACAATCCATTGTGCAATCATCGTAACATCGCATTCTTCATAGAATTGTATCAGCCGACGACCACAGGCGTATTGAGTGCCTGGCTTTAGCACACTATTGTGGCTAGTTAGTGCACATAGTACTATGGCCAATGTAACCCATTTCAATGCACATGGAATAATAACATCAGCACATTTTTATACAGAGCTATGCACATTCTGAACATGGAGATCTATAAACTCATTTTATAATATTGCATTGGCAGTTCTTCAAATGTATGCACCATCTTCATATTAACTTTAAGATTCATATGTTTATTTTCGGAATGTTATAATAAAATACTGGAGCTCAATTTAAGGATTTAAGTTTTTTTTCGTAACAAATGGCTCATAAATATTGTATTTTTCATATAAACTATAAATATTTAAAAATATTACGATAGGTGTAAAGTGTATGTTAAGTTTGGAAATACAATATGCCTCACAATAATAATGATACAACAATAACTATAAAAATTAAATAAAAAAAGTAAATGTACAGTAATAAAATTTGAAATCACTCCTCAATCAACTTTTCAAACAGAATTACACTCATTTATAATACTTCTTTTAACAGTTCTAAGACGACAGCAGCTAAAGCCTATCAACCAATTCTAACAGAGGCCTATGGTATATACATACTGTACTACAATCATCAATAGCACTGTTTTTATTTCTGTATTCCTTTAGACTCTTGAGAGTGTAATAGTGGCTTAAATGCAATGGAAATGTTTTTAAAACAGATATCTACACAAGAGATTCTTTTATACAACACAAGGAGCTACTTGAGTCTAGGACAATGTAGGACAAACAACATTTACTGTCAATCACCATAATATGAAACTACATGAAACAACAAACTGTATCTGGAAAATGGCTCGAATTTGGCTTTTCTACTATTGCTTCTTGAAGAAATCTTTACTCTGGTTAACAGTTGGCTTAATAGTATCATCACCAGGTCTCCAGTTGGCAGGGCACACTGCAAATTAATACAAGAGAGGAAAACTTAATCTCAAATATGCTCTGTTTTAATATAACTGAAAATGACCGATATTTGCTTGTGTGCCTGTTAAATGGCAAGAAATGTAAGCTAATACAAAGATACTAGAAATACAAGATAGAGTTCTCCACACAAAAAAAGTGTTCCACCGTGTTCCACCGAAATGCATGGTGGGAATACGAAAAATGGGATGCCCCCTATAGCTGGATCTAAAAAAAACTTGTGCCAAACTTTCGTTACCAAGTTGTCGCGTATTTTATTATCAATTCTCAACAAAGATACTAGATATAAAAACAAACTGGAACAGACACCCAGACAGTGACATCGGTGAATACATAACCTCCCTGGTGGCGGTAGAAATCGTTGCTATTATCCAAATAATACACAAAACAATTAAAGCATAACCA